TGTGTACTACCAGAATATCAGGGCCAAGTAATTTGGTGATATTTTCTACTGGTGTTTGTCTTTTCAAAATATTTTCTCTGCTTTTTTGAATACAATAGTTCTGTTGTTTATTAAGTAGAAAATTGTGACTCCCATTGAAATAAAAACTAAGTCAAAGATAGCTTATAAATAATCAAGTATTAAAGAAAATTCAGTGAATTTATTTTAAATTTAGCGATATTCATATTCCGTTGTAAAGGCTTTATAAATATTTAATTTAATTTATGGGAATGTTTGATGTCTTGTTGTTCAACAGTGGTAATTTTGTTTATGATTTTTCGAAAATGTAAATGTAATCATTTTTTTTGTGCTAATGTATTGTAATCTTTTTTATATGTGATGTGTATCTTTCTGAAATAACGTAAACTGTATACAATATAAACAATTTGTTTCAGTATAATGGAGCTTGATTAAATTTACAAACCTACAAATTTGGAGTTTTTTTTTTTCCCAATGAAGTTTTAAATGAGTTCTAATCCTTGGTTATCCGAAGGTTTTGTTATCTGGATGATTCGCTTTTTTCATACGAAATGATGTAAGTTATGTCGTTAAGACCTTATGGAATGTTGTTACTTTATGTAAATGGATCTTAATGAGGTTTTTTCAACTTGTAAGCGTCTTTATATTTCTAATATTTCGGTTCATTCGTGCTTACGTTCTAGTATAGTGTTGTTTTGGTAGGATACTGAAAACTTGTCTGGATTCTTCAATGTTGTTCTTCGATGTTTAAGTTGTATTTTTTTTTTTTTTCATTCCATCATTTTATTATTTTGTTTCACGTGGTAATTTTGCAAGTCATATCAACACAACGCATGTGCTTGCTGGTGTATTTGCTTGCATTCATTTTCTATTTCATTTATAGTAATTTAAAAACTGAAGGGAATAAATAGTTAGATTAAGATTTTGTTTATTTTCCAAAATATTTGGCAAAAAGTTCCAAATTTAATATTTCAACTTGGTTACGCATAAAAATTTTGCCAAATTATCAGCTACATAAATTTCATTATGAGGATGTACAGGATGCGCAATTCCATGAAAATGTGCAATTGATTGTGAACTGCTTCTGCGATAAATTTTTGTTGGATTTTTGGAATGGGTATCGGTCGAATGCGTCGAGTGCAACAATGGTTATTATTTGCTCGCCAATGGCATCTTATAGATGCTACCGGCCAGGTTTTTCTTCTTCATTTTTTATTTGAACTAAAGAATTAAAAAAAATTGATGGCATCATATAAATCTGTTAAATTTTATTTCTAAGAAGATCATGTGTTTGCCATCCAAATTCCTTATCGTTTAGTATCTTTATTAACAAATAAGTATCATTTGAAATGCTCCTGAATGATTCTTAGAATTATCACCTTTTATTTATTTAGTTAAATATTCTTTTTATCATTTGGGTTTCATTTCTTAGTGTTAATCAATTTATTGTTGCATAGGAACATGTTGGATAAATGAACGTTTGACTTATTGGCTGGTTCTTCAATTACTTATGTATATATTCAAGTAAATTCAAGAATTTCTAATATTAAAATAAATGATTAGTTCTTTAATTCACTCACTCCTCTGTCTCACTCATTGTTTTCTTTATTTATTCATTTATCTAACTATATATTTCATTTTTTATCCTTACTTTTATTTTTTCTCGAAGCGTAGAAGACAGGCGATTATCTGTTCATGTTTCTTCCATGGTTTTTTTTTTTTCCCAACGTAAGACAACGATAGTTTTGAGATAGTGACACGTGACACATTATGTATCACTTATCCTACCAGTCTTCTTTTAAATGCATAATTTCTTACGATGTTTTTTAAATTAATTCTTGATTTTTGTCAAGACCTTTTAATTGTTAACTTCTGCAGTTAGTTTTTTTATTTCAGGATGTTTGGATACTTGGCAAAAAAGTTGCAAATTACTTAGCTGGTAAACACAAACCAATTTATCATCCATTCACTGATTGTGGTGATCATGTCGTGGTGATAAATTGTAAAGATGTTGCAATGCATGGTTTCAGTTGGAAAAATCAGCGATTTTTCTTTGATAAGGTTTGATCCATTTTCATCTTGACATTGCGCATAGCATCTTGCATTGGTTATGGGATTATTTGCATATGTTACAGTTAACTTAGAGCTTTTACTTTAATGCTTGTAATAGTTCAAGCTGTTATTAATCTTTATTATTTAGCTCAAGTTCTTATCATAATGATCATCTCTCATTTTCATTGTTTTTGCCTTCACACTCCGCTGTAACATATCAAAGATTTTTGTTTACGGAAATATCACTATGGATGTAGACAGAAATCCTTGAAATATACTGCAACAGCATATTGTAATACATCTCATTCGTAATAAATTGATATCCTTCTACCATTAATGAATGTGCTGGAGATAAATAGTTGAAAGTCTTTTCTCGTTGTTTTTAAAAGATTGCAATTGTTTTTTTTCTTTTTATTACTATCTTATAATGAATTTTTGTGAATGCATTTAGGAAATGCCAAAATCAAAGGTCGAATATCCAGCTTGGCAAATTCAAGATTTCGATCCATGCAGACTAATGCATATGACAGTATACAGAGGTCTTGATCATAATCAGCTTCGCAAACGATTAATCGAAAGATTACATCTGTTTGCGGATGATCAAATGCCAATGTTTGTGCGGAGGAACATTGGAAATCACGTAATTATTATTTTCACTATCTGCAATTTTATAACTTTCAGTGATAGACTTTGAAGCTGACGAAGCTTCATACTTTTGATTTCTTTCTTCCTGCATTGCTTCGTTTGCATATTTTATTTTTATTCAGTGATGTCGTTCAGAATCTTTCGGTCATGTTTCGCTGCTCGTAACTTCGTCAGAATAGCCCACATACTACGAAATGACTCTAGAAGCAAGCCGGAGAAAGCGAAATTGGGAAGGGCAGAGATATCAAGATTGCAAAGAACAAGACATCTCTTAATTACTTTAGTTATGCTTTCTAGCTACTATTGCTTACAGATGGAGCAAGTGCAACGTGTTCCAAAACGATCCGACGAATATACAGCGGAAGAACGAGCCAAATTTCCAAGGCTATTCAAATTTGGAGATGACCATTTCGTCGATTGGGAACGACCCGTGGAAGACCCTGGCCAGTGGGTTGGAAAAGATAGATCTCCATTCAATCCTTATTATCAAAACGATTCATGATGCACATAAATCGAGAAATATTCTGGAATGCAATAATTTATGCATTGCTGCTTCTAATTCATTTTAGCCGGTCAGCTTTTTCGGGCGCACCATTTTTTCTGTTGTCGTTAGCAGGTGCCATTGATTTAGATGTAGTTTAGATCAGAGACAACTATAGCTTTTAGTGAGTATTTCAACAATCCATAGAATGAATAGTTTTGGTTATAAATTTAATATCCGAAATTTTTTTGGATGAATTTAATTCATATTTAGTATATCCTAAATAGGAATTCGATTTCATTTGTACTGTCTACAACGCGTGCGATTTTATATTTAATCTTGCATACTTTTTGTGATAAGTCGTCCGTCCGGAAGTCGTCGTACGATATATAACGTTCCCGATGTACCATCATTTTCACGTTCTAGATATAGCCATGATTCTTCATGATTCAAATAATATGCACGTGTATTCTTTGTATTTACAAAGTGTAATTCACCACCACCCTGAAATACTCTTGCATAGGCTATTTCGAGTTGTAGTTAAGTTCATCATTCAAATTTGAATTAATGAGATGTTGATAGCTCAACTAATCGATTAATTCAAAAGGATAATTTAGACGACTGCTATTATGGCTGTTTTTTTCCGGGATTTTCCGGGATACATGTTCTCATTCATGTCATAGAGTCATGAGCCATGTATGTTACTGCCATTCCGTCCAACTTGTTAGGTCGAATTATACAGTTGTAGTTTTGTTTCATTGATATTTAAATTTAATGATTACCAACTGCCTTTGCTTTTTTCTCTTCGCAAGAAATCATTCATTAAAATTTTCAAAGTAGCGTTATAAAACAACATTTTTCATTCTTCTAACCTGTAACTGTATAATTTCATCGGTACCTTGACCCGAACCGGCCACTTCACTTTGAACAGTTTGACGTAATTGTTTCAATCGTACGGTAGCTTCATTATGCATTCTAATTGCTTGTGTTGTTTTCGTTGATGCCTGCAGTTGAATCCTAACACTGAGTAATATTTGAATAGAAGAATAAATGGAAAAAGTAAGGAAAGGAAAGGGTAAGATGAAAGAGAAATGAAAGAAAAAATATATTTAAATTTTGTCCTTTTTTTTCCTGAAAGATCTGTTCAAAAAATTACGCAAATTTGAGTTTTAGTTCAACATCTTTTTTAAGCGAAGTTTCAACCTAATATTGACAATTTTACGTACTATTCCTGTCGAAGACATTATTGTACGATTTCTATCGAAGAACCACTCAGTACGTTGTCAGTAAATAAAAATGGATGTAAAGATGAAATATTCCCTAATTAAAACAATTTACTCAGTTATCATGTTCATCAAGATCACCCATGAATAATTATTGGTTGGACTGAATTGTTTGATATGTGTTATCAAAAAAAAAAAAGAAGAATATATATTGCTTCACTTTTTTGTCTTCTTTTTTTGCGATCTAAACATTTTATTTATCTTTTTTCTTGTTGAATTTACTAGTTTAAAGTATTGGACACAATTCTTGTATGTTAAAATTTAACTTTCAAATCTTAATTAGATACAGGGACAAGTCATTTTTGCATTTTAATTTGTTGTTTTATATCTTAATAGTATTCATTTTTTTGTTTAATGAGTGTTTTATTAACCCAAAATAAAACTTCCTGAATTCCTTGATATCATTTGATGCTATTCTGCCTATCAGGTGCTATTATGTTTTCCTTTCTTTCTTTTATTTTTTGTGTCTTAATTATAGAAGAAATAGTATTCGGTTTTTGGTTAGTTTTAAGTTTGATATCTAATTAACAGTCTAATCTTAAATCGATGATAATAGCAGCAAATAGATTAAAAGGCTCTAATAAAGAATTTTACTGCACTGAGAAAAGTTTTCTCGTCTTTTCTCTGGTATAGACTGAGATTTCCAATTTTAAATTCAATTTTAGCTTATGAAACTACTATCGTGAATGTTTACTGTCGGATTCAAATGCAAATGAAATGTTAAGACAACGATTATTTACAGCTCTAGTAAATATACGACCTTTCCTAAAAAGTGGGGATTTTTTTTGAAATCTAAAATATCATTTTATTGATTTTTTTCGTTAAATGAGATGTTTTATATATTACTGTATGCTTACTTCATTTTTGGTCAATTATTTTACTTCAATAATATTATCATTTCTTAGAGCGATGGCTAAGTGAAATTGCTTTATCGGAAGATGAATATGAAAATCTTGCTAACGAAACGTTGGGTAAATTGGCCGATTATTTGGATTCTTTTCCGGATAGGTTCAGTTGTGACGGAGAGTACGATGTAAATTCGTCTATGGGTGTCGTTACGGCTAAAATTAGTCGAAAAATAGGTGCTTATGTCATCAACAAACAAACACCAAATCGACAAATTTGGTTGTCTTCACCTTTGTCCGGTCCGAAACGGTATATTTTTAAGATTTTTGATTTACAAATAAAGAGGACATAGATTGCATTTTTATAATCCAAAAATTAACGGAGCATTGAAGTAAACCAAAAATATTGATAAGACGGATAAGTGCTCTGATTGATTTTTCGCACATTAAGTCTTGGATGATCAACTTTTAATTGTCAGGAGAGTTAGAGAGTTGTAAGGATAATCTGGAATCGAGCTATTATTTTCAAAGATAGAAATTGCAAGAGAGGTAAACTAGCATGTTTTGCTTTTGCTTGCAAGGCATCTTCAAAAAATTATCACTACTGTTTGTATATAGTAATTAAGTCTTACTGAACTGAAAACAGGACTGGATTATTAACATTCACCAAACAGAAGTGACTTCTTTAGCTGTCACGCTGGTAATGCTTTACATTTCATTTCAAGATATCTCGTAATGACGGCGAATAATTCTGAAGGAATTTTCAGGTTTTAATTTGGTTGATAAAAAATGGATAAGCACTCGCGATAATATATCACTGGATGCTTTGCTGAATAATGAATTTCG